TATTAAGGCCAATGTAGCTGATAATTCTAACCTAGGACCAGTGTTAGAGATTTCTTAATAGAGAGCCCCCTGTGTATATGACCAGCCATACAGTCCTTTTAAATGCTGCTGGAGATCACCAGCCCCTCACCGTCCAGAATAGGCAGCCTGGGTTCCATAAGTCTTCCATTTCTCCCCTACCTGGAAATGATCCTATTGTTTTTGTTGACTAAAAAGTAATTCAAATGTGTTTTTACAGATTCTGGCAATACTCACGTGTAAGAGAAGAAATGAAAAGTTCCCATAACCCCACCACCAGACACCCTAATTCAAATGCTTCTCCAAGATGCTTCCCCCACAACCTCAGGCAGACTTACTAGTTTCAGTCTCAAGCCAGGCCAGCCTGGTCAGAGCTGGGCAGATGTGAGCCACTTTCCTCGCACCAGGATTTGAGGCCATAGAGAGTAGACGTTAAGAAAGCCATTCAGGAACTCAGGACCTCTTAGAAGCCACTCTTTGGTACCTAAAAAAGAGAACTGAGGGGCGCCTAGGTGGCTCAGCCGGTTGAGGGTCTGCCTTCCACTTGGGTCATGATCCCAGGGTCCTGGGATGGAGCCCTGTGTCGGGCTCCCAACTCAGTGGAGAGCCTGCTTCTCCCTCTCCCTCTGCCACTCCCCATTGCTTGTGCTCTCTCGCTTGCTCACTCTCGCTCTATCTCAAATAAATAAAAAAAAATTTTTTTTTTAAGAGAACCAACCATGAATTCCAAGAGTTGGTTGTTAAGGTAAATAATAGGCTTGGGGTTCCAAAATTAGCTTCAGGAAGAGGCTGGTGAAACCCAAATTCCTGTCACTGTCCCAGTCACTGTCCAGGCCCATTTCTCCCTCAAGTTTATTATAGTTTACAGGACTGCTTCAAATTTCCTAAACCTTAGTGTCCATTCCACCAGGACTCATGGACCCAAAATAATGAAGTCCATGAAGAATCTTGTTCTTTCTTTTTTTTTTTTTTGACAGCGAGGGAGAGAGAGAGGGCAGGAAGGGGCAAAGGAAGAGAATCTCAAGCAGATTCCACACCGCGAGCCTGACATGGGACTCGATCTCACAAACCTAAGATCATGACCTGAGCCAAAATCAAGAGTCAGAGGCTCAACCAACTAAGCCACCCAGGTGCCCCAGAAGCATCTTGTTTTCTGGTCCTGGATCCCCTGGGCTCTGGACCATCTAACTTTTTGAAGCCTCCAGTTTTTTACCCATCCCTTCCAAGATAATACTTGAGACACAGCAAAATTCAGACACCTGTGGGTCAGGCAGGTGGCAGAAACCAGCGGGCTGGTGAGGACCATGGCCAACTGAAGGGTTTAGTCTCATGGGGGCCCATTTCCTTGTGGGACTGAGGATTTACTCAGTGTTCCCAGATCTTGGGACTTGAGAAACCAGAAATCTGGATTTATGTGAAATGTTATTTTTAATGTTGGCAATTAATTCACATTTTAAAATATATATAGGCCGGTTCAAAGGAACCATGTCTGGGAGGGAAACCAGTTTGCTACCTCTTGTTCACCTAACAGATTGTCCTGGCGGACTCAGCAACTTGCTTTTTTTTTTTTATTTTAATTTTTTAAGATATTTTATTTGACACAGAGAGAGAAAGCACAAGCAGGGGGAGTGGCAGAGGGAGAGGGAGAAGCAGGTTCCCCACTGAGCAGGGAGCCCCATGTGGTGCTCAATCCCAGGACCCTGGGATCATGACCTGAGCTGAAGGCAGACGCCCCACCAACTGAGCCACTCAGGTGCCCCATTTGTTTTTTCAAGAAAACCAAGAGTTCATTTTTTTAAGTAATCTCTACACCCAATGTGGAATTCGATCTCAAGACCCCAAGATCAAGAGTTGCATACTTTACCCATTGAGCCGGCCAAGCACCCATCTTTGCTTCTTTATTCACCCCACCAGCAGTGAGCACATACTGTTATCATCTTGAGTCCCAGTGGCCTTTGTGGAACAGGGGCCTGTTTTTATCTATTGCCAGAAAATACTGTGCAACCTCAACTCTGAGAACACTGAAAGTCCCTGGGGGCCCACCTCCACCAGTGGATGGTTTCCAGTACCCAGGATGCTACCAGCCTGAGAGCAGGCCCACCTGCTCTTCCACTAGCCTGTGGTACTGCTGCTTGAGTAACTGGCCTTGGCATTAATCACCCATTCTTCTATTTAATCAAACTGGCTCATATGCAAGAAGGCTATAAAGGAACATGTTGGTGAGCAATACGGGAAGCTGTCCTTCCTAGATCTCATGCAAAAAGTCAGCAATAAAATAAATAAAAGCAATAAATAGTCTCTTAACATGTAGTCTTTGCTAAGTGGTAAAATGTCTTAGTAGACAATGACCTTTGTGTTGTCTTCTTACCTCCCCAAATTCTGGAACAGTCTGATTCAATGACCACCTAGGAGGAGGTATGGGTAGGTGCTGCTAATGGAAGCCAAGGAGGGGACATGTTCAGTGTGGAAGAGAAAGGTCAGTGTTTAGTGGTTCCCATCCCCTGCGAAGCTTCTTAAAACTCCAAGGTCCCAGGAATCATGTTCTAATTGAGGTGACTGCAGTTGCAGCGGGAGTGGTTAGATAATTAAAGGGAAGGCCTTCACCTTCAGGCCAAGGCAGAGGCCATCCCTGAACATTAGCTGGTGTCTCACAAATAAGGAAGGCCTTTTTCATTTCCTTTCCTTTTTCAATTGTCAGGAAATAAGCTAAACTTCGCTGTTCTTGGTAAGTGTGCTTAATAATGGACTAAGGATAAAACAGGAACAAACACCAAAGGGGAAGGGTGAATCATCATCACACTCAGTCTTAGCTGCCGAAGGGGCCTCTGGGTGGCTCAGTCAGTTAAGCGTTAAGACTCCTGGTTTCAGCTCAGGTCATGATCTCAGGGTCATGAGATGGAGTCCCACGTTGGGCTCCAGGCTGAGCGCAGAGCCTGCTTAAGACCCTCTCTCTGTCTCTCCCCCCACCTCTATTCCCTTCAACCCCCTGGCTCTTTCTCTCTCAATAAATCAATCTTTAAAAAGATCCTTAAAAAAAAAAAGTGACCTCTGGATGACAGCTGCGTCTGCCCTGAAGCTCTTCCCTTCTTTTCGCTCATTTCTGGGTCTGTGACCCCTGTTGGGACTGTGCAGCCCCTTCCAGCCTCCCCGCTGCTAGACAGGCTTTCTCACATGCAGATCTGAGCCCGTCCCCCACAGAGTTCCTTCAGTGACTCCCGTTTTTAGGACAAAGCCCCCACTCCCCGGCCTGGCCCTCAGGGCCCTGTGCATTCTACTCCTCGCCATTCCTAACCTAGAAGGTCTCTGCCCCCTCTCCCGCTTTGCCTAAGTAATTCTTCACGTCAGATGTTGTCTCTCTGAAACCTTCCCGTCCAACTCTCCAGCACCCTCACCACATTGCCTCTTCTGGCTCCACCAAATCTTGGCGCAAACAGTGGTGCCGCACGTGGACCGGGCCGAGGGCTCAGTCCCGCTGCACGGCTTGCGGCAGGACTGCTCACTGGGCCTCACTGGTTGCTCTCCCTCCTCCTCAGTGATGGCGGAGCACGCGGCCGGATGAAGACTTCACTTCTCTGCCTCGCTCTAGCTGGAAGTGGCCACGTAGCTCCGCACTGGCCAGGAGGATGTAAGCCACGGTACTGGGTGTGACACGAAACTGCTCTGAACTGTCCCCAAAGGGAAGGGGAATATACCTTGCTCTTCTGGCTGGAACCAGATGGCCTGGATGGGACTGCAGCTGCCACCTTGGTCCGTGGGATGACCATGGAAATGGAAAGCGGACCCTGTAGAACTCCAGACAGGAGCTGGTCTCGGACGCTGCCACGGACCAGTCCTGCCTCTGCCCGACTACCTCCAACGGGCTGTCTGAACATGGGAGAAATAAACTCTATTTAAATCACCATTATTTTTGCAATATTTGTGATAATGGAGTTTATTCCAAACTAATGTCCTCCCCTATCACTGCCTCATGTCTCCCATGTGTGCACTTCGGGACAGAGTGAGAGAAGGGGTTCAAAGGTCATTCTGACTGCACGTGATCCTCCTCGCACGGGCTGGCCAGAAAGCCCTCACGGTGGTTAGAGCACTTTTCTGGAGGGCCCTGAGAACTGATCGCCCCAGGCTCCCTCCCTGACACGGCCAGAGTAAGTGGCCTCCTGGCAGGGACACTATCTTTTACATCCGTGTTTCTGGCCCCAGGGCAGGATCTACTCCTGTCTATATAACACTGAGACTGGTTTTCCTGAAGGAAGCAGAGAGTATCTAAAATAAGTGTTTTGCGCCTCAGGAAGATCCAGTGAGCCAACACAGGCCACGTGTGTGCCCATCTTCCAAATGAGTGCCAAGAATCCCTCCCTCCCCAGAGTTTAGTGTTTTAGATATGCTTATGGACATTTTCCTGGGAAGATGGCCCAGGACTGTCATCATTCTCAAATGAGAACTGTGACCTCACAAGAGTTAAATAATCACTGCATTGGAAGAACTGTTTTTGTTTTTAAATCATTTTTAAAGCTTAAAACATATTTACTTGCTTTCCACTAAGGTATCTCCTTGACATTTTTTAAAAAATATGAGCATCTTTTAGAATGCAATAACAACTTGCTCAACCCCCTCCTATCCTGGAAAGTAAAAAATTATAACATGTAAATATGCTTGTGAATATTCTCCCTACCTGTTATTAGCTCTTTTTCAAAAAATAGGATTGTTAGCTGAGAGAAATATTCTAGAAGTGTCTACAATGCAAACAGAAGAAGCGAGGCTCAGAGCTGGAGCCTTCTTTTACCATTTGGCTTTAAGTACAAACCTGGCTCCAGAAATGGATATGACCTGAACATCGGCTGGTGTGGGGCCCTCTATTAGAGGCACTAGGTCGGTGCTGCTAAGTCTAGTTTCTGGCTGAGGAGGTGAAGGTCAAGCACACGTGCTGCTCCCTTAGTAAGTCATGCTACTACCAGGTCAAGAATCAATGAACCTCTTTTGCCTTATTTAAAAAACAGATATAATATGCATTTAATTTCATTCAATAAATCAATTCCACTTAACTTACCATCTCTTAGAAAACTTAAGAAAAAGCAAACATAAGACATGAAAAATTACATTAAAGATGTGCGACATAGTGGAGAGGAACGAGTGCATACATGGTAATTAGTTCTCATTTAAACGCACCACAAGAAGAAAAATAAAATTACTGTAATTTATTGCTGTATCTATGCTTTTCCAGTAGAGCTATAATAAGTAGCCACAAAGTGCCACCTTCCAGCTTAAAACTGTGCAACACCTCCTTTCCCTCTTTCTAAATGCCATTTTATGGTGGGTGTATAAAGCAACGGCAGCAGCTACAAAACGCTGTCTCAGTAACGCTGAGCGCTCTGAACGAAGATCTGGGTGTAGGCTGAGTAAAAAGATGTTCAATTAATAGCGCACACTGTGTAACTTCACCAAACATCTTTAGTTGCAATTTTCGTGTAAATCTTTAGAGAGCTGTGACTCACAGATACCAAAAGTAAAACAGCTTTTCCTTTCACGATTTAGTGAGGTGGTCTGCATTCTCAAAACCGATTTACAAAATACAAGAAATGTTGCGTGTGAGTACCAGGCATAAAGTATTTCATTTACTTACAGAAGGAGCAGCAGGGCGACAGGGAGCCTAGTGGACGCCCTGTCACCACCTTTCCCGAAGATGTATACCCCCCAAGAATGGCACTGGAAACCTGGCAGCAAGCCACTCTTACAATTCTTTTTGGTTGCTTTAAAATACAAGCACTCTCCGACATTTCCCTCCCCAGCCTGTGAGCCCCACCCTGACTTGGCAGGATACAAGCCCACGTCCTCTTCCTTAGTTTTCCCCTTAGAATTATTTACAGGATGCCTACAGATACAGTACAAACTAGTATGAAATTAACGATAGTTTGCATTTCCAGACACACTTCCGTGGGTAAATAAGCCCACCACGCTGACTCCGAAGACAGGTTCAAAGCTAGGGTGACTCGGGGGCACTTGCATCCGTAACCGCAGAGACAGGCTTCTCGTTGGCTGGGGTGGATTCGCAGGCTCTGTCCTCAACAGTGCTGGGGGCCTTGGGAGTGGGGGGCGTCACATCCACAGCGGGTGCGGAGGCAGCGTCGGCCCTTGCAGTGGTCGTGACAGGGTCAGAAGGTGGGCTGCCGGCGGGCGTGAGGGAGGAGAGCAGCTCCCCTGGGCTTGCTGCAGAAGACACCTCTGGAACCAAAGGGAATGACGGGAGGAACTCGGATGGCATGGGGAGAGGTGCAATGCCAGATAAGTTTCGGGGAGGCAAAGAAGGAAGAGGTGGCAAACCTAGGACAAAAATGGCAGAGATCACACATCCTCCCAGCACTAGAGAGGCAGCGGTCATCCTCACATGCCCGTATTTGCATTTCACTAGGGCAGTGAAGCTGAGGAAGGGCAACACACAGCACAAGCCCCGCTTACCCTCAGGTGGAAGCAGGACGGAGTTAAGTACCCACGCCAGACCAGCTGGCCAGGAGGAAAGGTTTTGGGCTTCTAGACTCCAAAACCTCCGTGTGACTCAGCCAGTTCAGAGAAGAGAGGATTCTCCCGCTCAGGACACGCAGCTACACTAGCACTGGAGGGGGAAAGGGGGGGTGCTCCCTTTCCCCCAACAAGCTGCAAGCCCGAGTCAGAGCTGCCCTCCGGACAGACAACAGAAAGAGGAGAGGGCGCCAGCCCTCTGGTGAAGGCTTGTCGTGTCGCCCCCGCCCCGCATTAGCCTCACCGTAAGTACCCAGCCTCTGTTCAAGCCCTGTGACAGGGAGCCATTACACCTGGCGGGTTTATTGTGATGATTTCAAAATGCAGACTGAAGAAAGAGTATTACTTCTTTAAGAAACAAGGAAAGGTAGAATGTACAACATGTTCAGAGCAACCACTGGGCTGGTGAAACCCTCAATGCTCTTTGAGTCTGTTAATTTGGGAAAAGGGCGGAAGAAGCCAAGAAATACGGGGCATAGAAGAAAAAACAAAGGAAGCGCTAAGATAGGTAAACCGTTAGAGTTTACAGTCTTCCTTTGTTTTTTAAACCACCGTGCTGAAAAGCGAATGGGTTAATGAGGACAGGTGATGAACACATCCAGAGGGGCGTGTACAGCCGGGCTGTCATGACCTAGACAGAAACAGGACAGCGTACACTCATGCGCCTCGGTATGCAAATCAGAAATTAATAGCCCTGACCTGTGGCCATCTCAGAGTTAAAGGTGATGTGGGTAATCATTAACTAGAAGATCAGGTTTGTGGGACACTCTGCTGCTTCGTTCCCATCAGCACATAAGATCGGAGCGAAGTGCTTTGAATATCGGCTAGCTTAACTATCTGTAGCTAAAATCCCAACAGTTTTTATTATAAAAACATCTGTTAATAACAGAATATTTATCAAATAACAAACACGGCCAGCTGAGCAAGGATGAGGGTTTCACAGCCCAAGGTCCTGGGCCTGGCTACTCAAAACAAGCACCGCCGGCAGCAGTCGCCCGCACCAGGAGAACGGCGGGGAGTCCATTCACCTCCACCGGGGGGCCTGTACCCCTTCCATCCAAGTCCGTTACGGCAGCGCCGCGACACTGTTCTCTATTTCTGCAACTGGCCCTTATGGTACTCGGGCTGTTGGCGTGCAAGGAGAGGAAAATGGAGGAGAGGTGGCCAAGCAGAGAAGAATCACAAAAATCTTCTTCTTCCTCTTCGTTTTTAAGCTTTTTAAGTAAAAAAGATTAATATTTATTTGAAGCAGCTGGAATCTGTTCAACTGATCTGCCCTTTCTGGAAAAAACTGCAATAGAGGATCTGCTTTCCTGGATAAAAGCTTTTTATTAGCCAGAGTCCTAGGAAGGCAGGATGGGCAACATACCCGGGTTCACGAGTTCCGGTAAGCTGACGCCTGCCATGACATGCGGTGCGGGGAGGTTGAGGTTGGGGAGGGCAGGCAGGTTAGGTAGTCCCGCTGGTAAAGGCATCAGACCTAGAGAGAAGGCAGAGAACAAAAGGTAAACCACTTCCTCTGGGGAAAACATTCCATCTTTGTGTTCTGAAACAACTACTACCGGCTTCAAAGCGAGAACACCCGAAGTCCACATACCGGGTGGCAGCTGTGTGTCCTAACATTAACAACAAGAGCGAAACAGCTCCCTTCAGCGAACCGTCTTTCTGTACCTACGCGATTAGGTGGCTGAGCAGATAAGGGTTAAAACCCATCCGAGTACTTCCAGACCTGCGAGCCAGAATGACAACGGCCTGAGTGCTGTGGGGAAAGGGCTGATGTGGCTCAGCAAGTGCAGGAGGAAATGAAACTCAACTTCTCTTTGATGGCTGAGGTTTACAGTCCCTCCCGCTTTTGAATTTTTTTTTCCTGAAATAACTTCAGACTTACAGTTGCAAAAGTAGTTTATATAAAGAAACCCCATATATCCCTTTCACTCAAATTCCCCACACGTCAACGTTTTACCACACTTCTTCACCATTGTGTGTGTGTATGTACATACAAATTTGGTTAATGGCTTAGTATGTCTGTGCATGACCTCTGGAGTCATACAATTAAAGGTTCTCACAATGCAAGTACATTTGATCCCTGAAATAATATTTGATTGTTATCTGATGGATAAAGACATTTGGTCTTCACTAGGAACAGTAAGAGAAATAAACAAACATCTAACTTAATGTTAGAGCTTCTGAAGAACCTGCTATGGAATGCTCTCTGTCAGGACACAACGTCTCTTCACAGAAACCGCTACTAGAAAGCCCTGATGAAGGAAGCCCCGAAGGACAGAACTTTTACACACTGCTGCTTCCTGCCTCACGCTGCATCGCAGGGGTGGCCGGCTGAGGATAAGGAGCCTGAGGCTCAGCACCTAACAGGTGGTAACTGACAGCTCTTTGACATTTGCTCTCATTTATCACAAAGTTATGGCAAAGATAAAAGGAGATTAAAAGACACCACAAAGGTGTAAGATTTTTTTCTTTTCTTTTTTTTTAAGACGCACAACATTGGTCGTGCTATTATTACTAACTCCACACATCTCTCCTCCCCTGCCGCCTGCCGCTTACCTGGTAAGGTAGGAGCTGGGTTCAGTGGCGCCACAGAAGTGAGGGACTGGTTTACTTGTGGTGGCAATAATGGTACTGTTGGGACACCTGAAACAAAACATGATCTTTAAAAAAAACTTCTACCGAATTCTTGACAAAGAATGGACAGACTTTATTAGGAGTCTTTAGCCCCCTTCCCTCCCCACCATGGTAAGGCCTTCACCCCGTCCTGGTTTCTGGCTGCCTCACCGCCTTAGCTCATGTACACACTCTGTCTGTGGCCTTTAATGAGGACTGTTAGCAGAGTCTGGCCTAACAGGGTAGGAGGCTCTGCAAACCCACCCCAGCTAAGTTCTCTGGACAAGAGTTTTACATCTGACCTAAGCAGGGCTAGATTAGAAAACTGTTTTAGAAATTCAGAAATGGGACTCAAGGATTCCAGTCAATCTCTACTGGGCTCCTGAACTAGACACCACATAAACCTAGAACTGCTGGGGGCAGTGGGGGCAGATGCCCTGTGAAACCATGAGTGCTGATCTGTGAGAGGGGAGAGGGAGGCAGACGGCATGAAAGAGACAAGAGTACCTGGGCCTCCAGGGATGGAGAGAATGACCTGGCTTCCCGAATTTCCATTTCCTTTTGATAGGAAATGGGTAGGTTCTGTGACTCTCCTCTGAAGTGTTTTTACTGATGCTAGCTTGAGGAGGTTATGTACTTCAAATGCAAGTAACTCTTGCATTTCTATTAATGTTTACCACCTACTCGTGTGAGAGGTTTTGCTGTCCAAACAGTAGTAACAATGTACATGGATTCCAGACTGTCTTACAGAAATCTGCTTAAATATGGTAGCAGGAATGAATTGTGCCTAAAAAGCATGAAACAACCCTTTTCAGATAGTTACTTATTTTTTTCATGTATTTACTTTTCTGCAGAAATTAGAGGCATGTAAAAGTAGAAGAGGGGCCATCGCTTTCATCAGATTCTCAAAAAAGTTGGGTAACTGATATGTTCATTCACTCAAGGTTTTCGGGGGCACCTACCATATGCTGGACACTATTCTAGGCACTGATGCACTCTACAGCATAAAGAAATGACAAATCACTACCTGTAGGATATATTCTAATGAGGGGCAGGAAAAGGGAGACTGATACCGAACAAGTAAAATACACAGCCTGTAAAATGGTGTCAGTTCTCTGCAGAAAAATCAAGCAGGGAAGAGGACAGGAAGCATAAGGGAGTGTATCGAAAAGGTCATACTGATTAATGTCATTTCAAAAGGCTATATTCATTTTCTAAAATTTTATAATCCCCAAATTTTCAAATCCATACATATATACATTTTTAAGACACTTTTAACGTTTCTACAGTTACCGACTGGGCTACTTTGCAGCAACTTAATTAAAAATAAAGATAGGTAAATAACAAAAAAAAAGTGGGTTCTCACATGTCATGTTGCTAGAATATTCAGTTTTTAAACTGATTTTCTCAAAGTGAAAATGTTGATTTCACTCTCTTCTGAGCATTTCTTTTAATATTCAAGAAGCCATTTCTCTACTGTATAACAAGGCCAGGGATCTCACTTCATGTGCTTCTAAGACAAGTGTAACTATAATGTAATGAGGGAAGATTTAAAATGTCGAAAAGAAACTGAGATTTGAAGACAGCGGTCAGAAGAGCTCTGATACGGCACTGGAACACTTACTCTCAAAGAGGAGAGAGCTACTCAGACACTGAGCGGTCTGCTGCCGTGGGTGTTACACCTGCCGACCTGTACTAAGCCTAGCCAGGAATAAACTAGAAGACCATCTGATGGAATCTAAGAAAAAAATCACAATATAAAAAAGGATTCCGCTCAAATGAAATAAACTTTAAATGCCCTCCCAACTGTATCTATGACTTAATACTGATGATATTAGTATTTCATTTCATCTAGGAAAAACCTGGATTGTGGTGATGACTGCACAACCCCATAAATTCACTAGACATGGAGTTGTATACATACAGTGACTAAATTTTATGGTATGCAAACTGTATTTTAAAAAAGTCAGGAAAAAAAAACCAGCAAAGAGTAGGGGATAGAAAAGCAGGTCACCATAGTGCAAACTGGTGGGGCTGGGTGTGTGTGGGGGGGGGTTCATAATACCATGCCGTCTACTTTAGGCTATGTTTGAAATTTTTAATTCTAAAAAATTGAAGTTTTAAATTTTATCTAGAAAACGACATCTTTGGGAATGAAAATGAAGACTCTGAAAAGGGCTGGGATTTGAACTGAGGAGACCAAGTGCAAAAATCATACTGTTGACCTTAACTGCATCTTGGTGAATCCATCTATTTTAAGTCCATTCCAGGACAAAGTGAAATGTGAACAAATTGTAAACACAAATATTAAAAGGAGCTCAAGAATAAAAGGTTTTAATGAAATAAAACTAAACTATGTGAGTATTTCTTTCACTTACTCAACATTTATTGAGTAATAATATACTCTTGGTATTATGAAGAAACAAAATCAGAAAAAAGGTGGTTTTTAAAAGGCAAGGGAAAAATAAACTCTACCAACATACCAAGTTAAGATCTAGATCATGTGACCAAGCAATCCCAGGCCTAGGAATATAACCAAAAAAATGAAGACACGGGTTCATGCAAAAACTTGTACACAAACGTTCATAGCAGCATTATTCCTAACAGCCAAAAAGTAGACACAACCTAAATGTCCAACTGATAAATGGATGAATAAAATGTGGCATGTCCATATGATGGAACATTACTTAGCCATAGAAAGGAAGTATTACTATATGCTACCACATGAATGAAACCTTGAAAACATTATTCTAAGTGAAAGAAGTCAGTCACAGAAACCATGCATATTGCATGAAATGTCTAGATTAGGCAAATCCACAGAAAAAGAAAGAAGACTAGGAATGATCTAGGCCTGAGGGGTTGGGGAAAAACAGTGAGCGACAGGGCATAGGGTTTCTTTTGGGGTAATGAAATGTTCTGAAATTGACTGATGTGATGGTTGCACAACTCTGCAAATACACGGAAAAAAATCCCACTGAATTATCTATTTTAAATGGGTGACTTGCATGGTATGTGAATTATATATCAATAAAGCTGTTGGAAAAAAACTAAAACAAAAAAGGACTGTACTGGGTAGAACAAGAAATAAGAAAAGGGAGGAAGACATGCACGTGTCCCCTGAGCAAGACTGAACCCCCAGAAAGAGAACGATGTCTTGCTCAATTTTGTATCTCCAGTGTTTACTACCTAGGGGATACTGCAAACATTCGTTGAGTAAATAGAGCAATTGAACACAATTTAAAGGTACAGTCCTGACTCTACAACTTGTCCAAGCTAAGAGAAGCCCAGACTCTAAAATACACCGAGAAGAGGTTTAAATGCAAAACATATTTATAGTTTTCAAAGTACACCGGCATTACTTTTTAAATTTCTATAGCTTGAGACAGAAAAGAGTACCATGTAAAACAAAGTAGGTTGAAAAGAGAATAGATTTTTCTGCACACCTGTACTGAGAACATTACTGACAGCTGGTGGAGTTGAGCTAATAGAAAGTCCAGACAGACCCTGTTCAATTTCTGTAGTTCCTGGTGGTGACAAAGATGGGGGATTAACTGAGGACAGCTGGACCTGCCAAAAAAAGAAGGAAAGAAAATACTCAAGTTTACTTGAAACAACATACAGATATTGTCTCTCACTGGTCCTACAGATACCTTTTTTTAAAAAACATTTTTATTTAAATTCCAGTTAGTTAACATATAGTGTAATATTAGTTTCCGTTGAAAAAAATAGTGATTTAAAACTTCCATACATCACCCAGTGTTCATCACGCGTGCCCTCCTTAATCCCCATCACCTATTTCACCCATCCCCCCACTCACCTCCCCTCTGGTGACCATCTGTTTGTTCTCTATAGTTAAGAGTCTGTTTCTGAGATTGCCTCTCTTTTTTTTGTTTGCTCATTTGTTTTATTTCTTAACAGGTACCTTTTTTGATCATACTAGCTGTCAAAGGTTTTCACCTGGTACTTCCGCCTTCAGACACTCTTTCCTATTTTTGTTACATATCAAGGACCAAGCACTAAACATCTGCCCATCCTGTCACTTCCAGTCTCTTGACACATGGCATCTCCCCCATTACACACACTGCTCTAGGAGGAGATTCTACTCTTTCCTCCTTCGTAGCTGTCCCCAAATCATTTTACTCCACCTTTCCTCTTCTCTGATTTCTCAGCCAGTTTCTAACTTTCATTGTTCATGGAAGAAATCAGCTCAAAGTCTTAATACCATGATAAAGTCTTGGAAGTTTCTCAAGATGTCTAACCTTGTGAGTCCATCTTATCTTTTCTCATCAATGACTGAACATGGCAGCCAGGGCAGCCAGACCTCTACCTTCCGGGGTGGCGGAGGGATAAGTAAGTCTACGTGGATTCTATGGGTGGTTTCACCTCTGGATACTCCAACTTCTGCCAGCTCCAGTGCCCTCTGGCACATTCCAACACTACTTGCATTCTGGCCCTTTTCCTTAGCTGCCATTTCACCCCCTGGTCTTCTCAGACTGCCCACAGAGGCTTAACTGGGGCAGAGACCACTGATGAGGAGCAGCAGACACGGCGGTAGGACTCTAAACATGGAACGACATGGGCTCTGGCCATCGGCCAATGGCAGTGGTGAGCAGTGAGGAAAGGCTCCACTTCTCTAGCTCCTCTTCACTTTCTCTAGAATTGGGGATGGCCAAACTGTGTACCATAAAATGATAGTGGTGGCAGACCTTTCTTTACAATGGTAGCATTTTTCTTCTGGATGTTTGGTTTTTACTTATTCATGCAGACAAGAGTTAACTGTCCTGTGAGGCTTGCAGAGAAAACATTTTAAAAGCCTATAAGCCTGTGCAAATATCTTATTCTTTAAAAAGCCTCACTGTGATCCTCTAAGAGTCCCCACACAGCATCTTGCTCTGCTTTCCCAGTTAAGTTTCTTGAAATAGTCAGCACCAGCTCTCATCATCATCTTATCACCAACTGTTTGCCCTCTATCCCCTGTGATCAGATATGTGCACCCCGCCAGTCTCTGAAAGGCTCTCGTCCAGGACATGTGTTTTTCACTCCTCTCACCTGACTTCTCTCAACACCTCACAGAGTCGACATGCCTTTTTTTCCTTGAAGCTCTGTCCTCCCTTAGGACTTCTTCCAAGCTCCCTTTGCTGGATCCCCTTTCTGCCCATCCATTTAAATATTAGGAATGTTTAAGATTCCAGCCTCAGTCCTCTGACCCACCCGGGCCCAATCCCTTGACAATTTTTATCACTGTTCATTGGGTTAAATTACCCTCCCTTTGCTGATGATTCCCAAATCTGTGTCTCTAGCCTTGTCCTTGTTCCTGAAATCCAGATCCACAGGCTACCCATCTGGATATCCTAGAGGAACTTCAAATTCAACATGGTGAGCACTTAACTCCTCACCTGCCCCATCTCCATGAGTGTTAGCACCACACACACGGACACTTGATTTGTTTTACTGGAAACTGTGTGATGTCATCGGTAGTAAAGTTATCTTACCTCTGTAAACCCATCTTTAAGAGGAGTAATAGGTGTACCAGTCATCTGTCCTGGAAGAGAAATTTTCTTCCCTTCTTCAAACGGGCGTGTTGGTATTCGATGCAAATAACCGTATCCAATGCCACATCCTAGGCTATGAAAATATTTTTTTTCTTAAATTTATTGTTATCAATCACAGCTTGCATTTCTCTGAGGTTTTGAAATACAAAACCAATTTCCATTCTTTTAAATAATGTCATCCTATCAGAGGACTCTTCTGACCACCCTTTATAAAAGTGTCTGTCCTTCCACCAGACACTACCCTTACTCTCCTTTATTTTCTTCAAGCATTTATCATCATCTAACACACTGCACATTTATTTATTTTCTGTCTCCCCCAATAAAATGTTAAGGTCCTTGAGGGCAGAGACCTCACTTTGTTTACTGCCGTAACAGTTCCTGGCACATGGCAGACACTTAATTATTTGCTGAACGAATGTACAGCCTTTTCACTGAAGAGCTTTAAGTACTTCTGTACGATGATGTCATTTACACAGCCCCTAGTTCTATTTCAGAACCTGACACAAATCAATCCAAATTCATCCAGATTCCTTCTACTTCATCCTCCCACTGCCACCAGAGGCATGTTTTTAATAAGACATAATCACACTGCTTCTTTTCATAGTCTGCTGGCCTCCCAATATTCCTTTTCCCTTTCTCCCTTTGGAGAATTACTTCTCTATGTTGTGTGCAGTGCTGGTGGGACTGTCCATCAGGGGGGCCTTGTCCAAACCAAGAAATGAATGGTTCATAACCCAAAGAAGCCAATCCACCTCTCTTGCCCATGACTGCAAATCTTGGGAGTGACAGAAAAAACAGAAATGGCTTGATCCCTTCAGTAGAACCCTAATGAAAACTGCTAATTTCCTTCCTCCCTAACTCCCTAGCAGTGTTGAGTCCTGTCTCTTCCCATGTCTGATTCTTTAGCTGTTTCTCTGATTATAGGAGCAACTCCACAGCAATAAATCCATGTTTGCTTATGACAGCAACAGTTGGTTTCTACTGTTTGGAACCAATGACCGCCCCCCCCCACCACCACGGGTACAGTGTTTCAGAGTCTCACTGCCCGAGGTGTTTCCAAATTTCCGACCATGGTTAAGGCCCTTCACAATCAGATTCCACTTTAGGTTTCCATCATGATTGCTTTTATCTCCCAAACTTTTTGATACTTTCTGAGAAGGCCACACACAGTTATCTCTATGCCTCTCTCCTGCCAAGGCATCTGTTATTTCTGTGGATACTACCACCACCAAAAGCTGGGAGAGCAAGCAGTGGCCAACTCCAGCTCTTCCTAATCCAAATCTGATTTTACACTGATGCTTCATATTACAAAATTACTTATTCCTTGGCTCACTTTTTGTCCCTTCTACCATCAAATCTGCAATCCTCACTGAACTAGATCTCAGATGGAGAGGAAGAAAGATAAAATAATTTAAATTGATCAATGATAGCCAACAATGTTCTTATTAGAATTAGTGATGTTCTTTGCAGTTGGACTTCACCATCAGCAGAATCTCTTCCTTGCACTTTGATTCTGTGTTTACCAAGTACTCTTGTGATGCTAATCTGACCTGAGTTATCTTCTAACGGGAGAGGGGAAATGTTTCTATTATAAACTAAAAATTTGCCATTCTAATAAATACAGTAGTTTCTCTACAAATTTAGTTTATATGAGGCAGTCCCTCGGAAGTGAGTCAATTCTGAATGCCTTGAGAAGATCATATTTCTGTGTGTTTACAAACCTGGACAATGGACAGTAACTTGATCAAGAATTGCCCCAGACAGTCCAGATTCTTTTTTTTAAATTGTTACGTTAATCACCATACATTACATCATTAGTTTTTGATTAGTGTTCCATGACTGTTTACGTATAACACCCAGTGCTCCATGCAGTACGTGCCCTCTTTAATACCCATCACCAGGCTAACCCATCCCCCCACCCCTCTCCCCTCTAGACAGTTCAGATTCTTAAGATGTGATACCTCTATCTATTTTCTCAAACTGCAACAAGTTAGCATTCTGGTTGCAACATATAGTCAGCTACAGAATCTCAGGTAGTGTGGGGAAAGATATTATGAACAAATAGGGTCTTTCTCTGCCTGCCTCAACTAAGTCATCCTCTTCTCAACAAATGCTGGAACTTTTACAAAATATTTAGAAAAGTTTCCAAACCTTAGGCTTTCCTGTAATTATGGCTTATGCTCAAGAATTCCTCAATTAAATAAGGCTTTCAAAATAATGAAAAACTTGTACAATTTAAACAAAAGCTGAAAGACCTTTTAAAGAAGCAACATTAAGTCTGCATGCTTTGCTTTGGCTTTTTGAAATTAGGGAACTGACTTGATGAACGGTCCTGGAAAATTGATTTTCTACAGTTTGCTTCTCTGCTTGGCTTGATAATCCTTCTAAGTTGCCCTTTTTTTTTTTTTTTTTAAGATTTTATTTATTTGTCAGAGAGAAAGAGAGCACAAGCAGGGGGAGTGGCAGGCAGAGGGAGAAGCAGGCTCCCCACTGAGCAAGGAGCCTGATGCGGGACTAGATCCCAGGACCCCAGGACCATGACCTGAGCCAAAGGCAGATGCTTAACTGACTGAGTCACCTAGGCATCCCTCTAAGTTGCTTTTTATTTTTGTTGCAATTTTGTCTAATTTTTGGTTGAAATCAATCTGTCCATTTTTGAAAGCCGAGAGTTTTCACAAAATGCTAAGAAATTTCCCCAACAGCTAGAGAAAGTTACACTTGTATTGTCCCACTGTTGGGGAAGGGAACCGGGAAAATAAAACTGAAACTATTTTATTAAAATAACAAAATAAAACAAGACTGTTTGCTCTTAGATCAGTAAAGAAAAGGACCGTAGGTCTATACCACACTACCTAAATATGTGCTTTAAAAAAATGGATTACTGGTTTCAGTATTCTAGGTTAGCTCTTTCCTTTTCTCAACAGAAGACTTATAATAAACTATTAACTTGTTTCAAAATAAAAGCAATGATGTTTACAATATTTACTGGTAAGCTTAAGCAATCATAACTTAGTCTGAACAATGACCTTACCTGCCTTCTCCACCCCACGCAGAATTTGGTGTAATAATCACTTCTCGGCAGTTATCAGTGTCTGTATTATACACATAAAGTTTCAATGGTTTTGCTTCATGTGTTTCAATAAGGCTGAACAGATCTTCAGACTGCAAAAGCATCACAGGAGAAAAACATTTTTATGTTACTAAACTTTAGAACAGTGGGTCTCAAACCTGGCTAATATCAGAATCACCTGGAAAACTTTTTATAAAAAGTACAGATTGTAGGCCCTGCTGCTAGACATAAAACTCATTCCTTAAAACCAATACTCCAAACAAGATTTCAAATATTTTACCTATCTCCTATGTGCAATGCCTTATCTCCAGTTCCCTAAGACCTAGTCAGCAATTTTAATAAAACTCTTCTACACCCAAATTCTATATATTCTGCTTTTACTCTTCATTATTTTCTTTTAAACATTTATTTCTTCATTTGAGAGAGAGCACAAGCCAGCGTGCACATGGGGTGGGATTGGCAGAGGGAGGGGGAGGGAGAGAATCTCAAGCAGACTCCCCATGGAGAATGATACAGGGCTCGATCTCACGACCTTGAGATCATGTCCTGAACCGAAATCAAGACTTGGATCTTCAACTGACTGAGCCACCCAAGGTACCCCTACTCTTCATTATTAAGACCTGGTTATCTGGGCCTCTTATTTTTCTTTCATTTTCGATTTAGCAATATATACTTCCACTAGCTAACAGACAAGGAAAAGGATCTAATATAGCTAAGCCAATTTTGTTCCCTTAAAAAGGAGTAGAGAAAATGAAATCAATAACCAAAATGAGCATCTGCTTTAGTCTTGAGCACCTGCTTTAGTATGTTAAGAGACTGGTTTATTTTTAAAGATTTATTTATTTGAGAGAGACAGTGTACACACAAGAGTGGAAGGAGCAGGAGAGGGAGAGAATCTTCAAGCAGACTCCCCACTGAGCACAGAGCCCCACTCGGGGCTCCATCCCATGATTCCAAGATCATGACCTGAGCCAAAATCAAGAGCTAGACGCTCGACTGACTGGGCCACCCAGGTGTTCCTGTTAAGAGATTTCTGTATATCATACACAAAATCTGTGCGATTGCCACATGGTATGTATTTTTCCTTACAGCTATACCTTATAAGACACCTCCTCCCATGTGTTCTGTTTACACTCTGATGTGTAAGTTATCTTGATTAGCAAAGACCTAAATTTCAACTCTAAATGTGAAATGTAACTTATACTTCTGAACCTATTAATGAGAAAATGTTATAGAACTTTCATTATTAATAAACACACCAATTACCTCATTCATGACTGTGTCTGCTCCAATGATATAATCACTGTGAGGTCTAAGACCTGCCAGTGCCGCAGGAGAATTTGATTCTACTTCCTAGAATAACACAAAAACACACCCCAAAATTAATGTATATAAAATAATCTTCCAAATTTACAGTTCACAGTCCTTAATTTTAGTGATTTAAAAAAACCCTTGTATTTCTTTTCCTTTCTTTCTTTTTTTAAAGATTTTCTTTTGTTCATTTGAGAGAGCACAAGCAGGGTGAGGAGCAAAGGGAGCAGCAGACTTGAGCAGTGAGGGGCAGAGGCAGAGGGAGAAGCAGACTCCCCACTGAGCAGGGAGCCCGATGCGGGGCTCGATCTTGGGACTCCAGGATCATGACCTGAGCCAAAGGCAGGCGCTTAACTGACTGAGCCACTCAGGTACCCCATAAAACCCTTGTATTTCTTTTTTTTTTTTAAAGATTTTATTTATTTATTTGAGAGAGAGAATGAGAGACAGAGAGCATGAGAAGGAGGAGGGTCAGAGGGAGAAGCAGACTCCCTGCTGAGCAGGGAGCCCGATGCGGGACTCGATCCCAGGACTCCAGGATCATGACCTGAGCCGAAGGCAGTCGCTTAACCAACTGAGCCACCCAGGCGCCCAAACCCTTGTATTTCTATCTTGTTAGACATGTCAGATATCAGAAACTATAGAAAATATATATCTAAATCACAAACATAAAAATCACATACTTAATAAAAATATAAAATATTATTTTAGCTATCTGTAGCTATCTGCTTTGACACTTCTCCTTCTAATGGATGAATCACTAGAAAAATAGTTCTTAGGCATCTATATTTGCTTTTTCCTAAATTTTTAAAATCTGTTAACCCACAGCAATGAATTCTAATTTTCAGAAACCAAAAATAGCCTAATAATAATAATAATACCTCTACCATCCAACTTAGATGAAGACAGCACCCTTCTACTTCATTTTGTAAACTATAAGTAACAGCTCACGGTTAATACCTACCAATACATGCCAAACATTTTCATTTGCCCCATCAAAGCTGCAGAAACGAATGCTCACTCCCAGTAAGCCCTGGCCGCCCCACATGTTGCTGGGTGTGACAGACGTCTCTCGCAGCTCCAGTGTTTTACTACTGTAGATCAGCATTTTTACAGGCTTTTCAACATTTGCTTTCAGTAGATCCTTAAGAGTGTCATTGTCTTTATTCTGTGAATACATAGAAATAATTTTTCTTAATAAATGAAAAAAATTAATGTTAATTAGCTTAAGCATCCTATGGCCCTATGGGAGTAATATTAATAACATAAATAAAACATCCAACAGGTAAAGCTGCCATTGACATTCAAATGTTCCTTGAAGAATGTCGAAAACTAGGAACAACTCCTCTATGTTACCAACTTCAGACTTTTTCTAATAGCTGACTATGGATTATGGATTTTGCAACCCAACATTGTTTGAAGTGATCTAGGGCTTTAGTGCTAAAAAACCAAAATACTCCACAAGAAGTCATATTACTAAGAGAGTTGGTATGACTTTGATTTTAAAATCTAAAACATCTGCTGAAGTTGTGGTTTAATTTTGGACAGCACTCCTAAATATACACTTTATTCATTTATTAGGAACTGGCAGGAAAGAAAAATGGAAGTAGCACATTAAATATTTCATTACATAAATGAATAAAGGCCATTATGCAGGAGATGCTGATAAATAATGAAGACTTAAAACTGCTGTAAAAAAACAAAACAAAACCAAGTAGCCACTGTCATAAGAATTTCCTTTGCTGAAATTATAATTCTTTTCCTTCAAGACTTTACTACAAGTAAACTGAAGCAACTTATAAAAGGTGGTTTTAAGTCTGTACTTTTGGAACATACCTATTTGGTTCTAAAAGCATTATTTATATATCATGAAATTAAGCTCCAAGCAAACTGATATGTTATTTGAGGAGTCTTTACTAATCCAAGCATACAAAGGTCTGAAATCATTGAAAAGGCAAACTTTTTCATCTTATTTCTACTTAAAAAAAAACTAAATATTCAACATATAAAAAGTCTCCTAATAAAAATATTAGGAGCTATTTCACTCTCCTAAGATAATCACTGAAGGGTGAGGTATAGTATTCTATATTTGACATTTTCATGTCTCCTTACATAGTTTTTATAAACTGGTATCATATGCCATATAATGTTTATAACTAATATCCACCCCAGATAATCTGAAAAATTCCATTTTTAAAAAAAAATGTTTTATTTATTTATTCATGAGAGTGAGAAAGAGAGAGAGAGGCAGAGGGAGAAGCAGGCTTCCCGCCTAGCAGGGAACCCCATGCGGGACTCGATCCCAGAACCCTGGGATCATGACCTGAGCCAAAGGTAGACGCTTAACCATCTGAGCCACCCAGGTGCCCCTGAAAAATTCCATTTTTAAAAGATTACAAAATATTATAGTCAAAACTACAAAAAGTTTAACTTACTAATCTCGAACCATTAATAGAAACAATAAAATCAAAGAATGGCTCCAGTCCAGCTCTATGTCCTGGGGAATTTTCTTGTACCTGTGAAAACAAAAGTGCCAAAAATGTAAAATATAGAGCTTAATTAATAATTGTAAGCTAAATTTTAATACCTATCTATTTTCAGCAAAAATAGATTAATTTCACTAATAAGGAAATATAGGTAAAACACACGAGTTCTCTCATTTCTCTTCATCTCTCCCAGATAATGCCCTTGCACCTCCCTAAATTCTACCCATTCTTTAAATTCATCCAATATAGGAGGTTCTCTATGGTTCTATTTCACACCACCTACTTTTGGGGGGCAGGGGCAACCTTCCCAGGATATAGCACATGACATAACAGACAGTCATCACAACTGAGTGAAAAAGTCAAATTAACTTAGCAAGCATTTATTCCACTACTACTACTAGTAAGGCACCATTCAATTACAAAACTAATAGGAACATAGCTGCTTATGTCAAGATATTCATCATCTATTAAGGACAAGATAAGAAGAGGAAGGGAAGACAGAGGACACACAGCCCTCTAATAAACTGTAATACAAGACCAACGAGTTTAAGGGCTATAATGGAGGTACAAAGTTCTAAGGAGAAAATTAATTCTGACTGAAGAAGCTTCACAGAAAAAAAAAAAAAGACATCTGAACTGTGTTTTAAGTCGAGGGTTTTAAAGGTGAGGATGGATAAGGGGATAAGAAAGGACATCTGAAAGTTGAAATAATGAGTAAAAATCCAGGAGTCTGAAAACATGAGGTTAATACAGTATAGCTAGACAAGAGGATGGTGTGGGATAGAAATACAGAATTACAGATTTTGAAAATCAGATAACCTACAATCCAGGGGATCTTTAAACTGAAGTCTGTGTGGATGGCTTCAGGGGAATACTGCAGCTCTTGAAATTATATGCAACATTTTGTATGAATCAGCAGTTTTCTGGGTATAAAGATCGACAGCTTTCATTAGATTCTCAAAGGGTTTCTCCAAATAAAGTGCTAAAACCAGATTTTGTGTAGTTCTTTTATGTACAGGTGAAGAAACCATCCCATGACTTGCCTGTGGTCCTGCTGGCTCATGTTAGAGGTTAAACTCGGAAGTGTATCTTACATCTATTAGTCCAGCAAGAAGGCTGGAAAGAAAGCATGGAGCCAGACTTAGAGGGGACTTTAAATGGAAGACTAAGATTACTTAGATTCTCAACAACTCAAATGTTTAGCATCCCAAATTTGAAATGGACTAAAATTAACTATTAAATTTTCTAAATTTATAGTAATAAAAATATTAGGAGCTATTAAGAGTAGTAATATGACAGAACAGAACAGCAAAAAGTTTATACAACACACTTTGCATTTTCTCTGAAATATTTTCATGTTTTAAGGACTTTTTGTTCTGACTGACATTATTTTATACTGTCAAAACTATCCTATGAAAACCAGGTTTGCCTTGATATTTGCAGGCTGATGATCTATAACAGTCCTAACAGTTCTAAGAGTCAGTTCTGAAGTTACACAAATGATATACACATTCATCCATACATAAATCTGTAGCTATCTACACAGTAACAAATCATTTTAATGCTTTCAAAATGAAACCCATACTGTTCCCAGAATCTGTCCTTCTAATACCAAACTTCTTGGACTAATGATACTTAAGCTTGGAATAATAATACATTCATTATTTCTTGGACTAAGGCTACCTTTTATTTATTTAAAACCAAATTACACTATCATTGCTTCTAAAGAAGCAAAACTAGGTCTTCTTCATTTGTTACAGTAAGAAATAGTTGTCCATCATAAAGATGGTTCAATGCTTAACTTACTAAAACTGTTTAATCTTGCTTTACATAAATTTTCCTGCAAATTTGGGACTACATCACTTTTGTAAATTAAGTTAAATATCAAAGGGATTTATTATTTAGCTCTAATGAAAATAATCAGCACATGCTTGTTTAGTTTCTTTATATTCAGTTTTCTTAAATGGGGGATATTTTATATTCTACGTATTACCAAGCAAAACGTCTAGAACTCAAAGTGGCAGGCAGATTTCTCCTCAAAAGGCAACTCTGAAAAGGAAACGGTGGCTGGCTGGAGCTATTATGAGAAGAAAAGTGAGGTCAAGTCACTGCTAGCTGGGGTGTGAAATGCCTATTAGGTGCCTAGCAAGTAGGTGTGAAATGCCTTGGGTATGAAAAGAGGATAATTACCATAGATCCATGGAGCCCCCTCACGGTGGAGTTTCTCATTTAGTAAGGTCCTTATCTAATCATCTAACTCTCTGAATATTTCCAAATGACCATTTTTTCTAGAAACCAACCAGTCCATTTGATCAGTTTCAGAATTTTCCACTGAGGCTGCCAAAAGTTTATCTTTTAGTTAAAAAGGGCCAAAGATAGTACTTTTGTAATGTTACCACCAACTGAGAAAGTTGATCCCACACACTGACGCTTATCATGCCACCCTCCGAGTATAAAGTTTTACCACTATTTGTTTAAAATGGAAAGTTTCCAATACCATTAGAAGTATTCTTCCCCATAACTCAAAAGAGATTCAATAGCCAAATATGAATTCTAAAAATAATAAGCTTAAATAATCCTTTCTCTAACTTTATTTTTCTTTTTTTTTTATTCTTATGTTAATCCCCATACATTACATCATTAGTTCTAGATGAAGTGTTCCATGATTCATTGTTTGTGCATAACACCCAGTGCTCCATGCAGAACGTGCCCTCCTCAATACCCATCACCAGGCCAACCCATCCTCCCACCCCCCTCCCCTCTAGAACCCCCAGCCTGTTTTTCAGAGTCCATCGTCTCTCATGGTTCGTCCTAACTTTATTTTTCTATTTGCATTTGCTACAAACATGGATCTCCTCTAATGGACGTTGAAATTAATTTCTTTCCTAAATTATTTACATCATTTGTACCAGCATTATGCTGGCAACTATGTATCTTAATTACCAATAGAAAGCCAGCAGAGGGAGCCCTAGAAAATGTTCTCTTTGACCCTAATATACTTAAAGGAAACTTCCTACATTTCATAGCATGGAAAATAATATCTACAACACAGCAAATTAAACATCCACACAGGTAAGTTTCTCTGGCAATAATATCCACTGACAAGAATCTCTTAGACACCCAATCTTTAAAGCATCATACCATTACTTCAATTCTTTCTGTCCACTCTAATATCTAGTATCTTTCAATTGTTGATTCATTGCCAGCTTCCTTCAAACCACCTTAAATTAAAAAAAAAAAACAAAACCCATCTATCTACCTATCTACCTACCTGGTCACTTAGCATTTATTATTGGGCCAAATATTACAGCAATTTAAGATGAACAGGTTAAATTGGAAAGTTTAATAGTTAAGATTTTACAAGATTTTGAAAAAATGCACAATGAAAAGATAATAGAATTCTAGAGCCTCAAACTCTGGTTTTGAGGCATGATTTTACCTACTTATTAGCTGTGTGAGCGTGGGAAAGTATATTTATCTTTCTGGGCCTCAGATTTTTCATTTTCAAGTAAAGGATAATGTCATCTACTTTACAAGAATACCACAGAGATTGAATGAGATCATGAAACGCTGAGCTGACATTATAAAACACTGAGCTAATAATAATAAGACTCTGACATATGATAGGAGTGTTACAAATCTTTTTTTTTTTTTTTTTTTTTATGGTGTACCTGGCATGTTTGATGCTTGGAAGAAATCTTTTTTTTTAAAGTTTATTTATTTAAGTAATCTCTACACCAACATGGGGCTGGAACTCAGGATCCCAAGATCAAGAGTCGCATACTCTTTTGACTGAACCAGGCAGGCACCCCAGGAGTCCTACAAATCTTAAACTCCTCTTCCTAACTCTGTAATCACCACCTGAGGGCAAATCTTTATAACCAACGAATTCCTGGACCCACATTATTCTTCTAACCATGTATTGTCTTTCATCCCTTTAAAAAAAAAAAGGAAAGAAAAGACATAAAATGTTAACTAGCAAGAGGAGAGAAACCATCTTTTAAAATGTGTCTCTTAAAAATCAATTCCAGATGAACAGATTTGAAGATCAAATAATAAAACAAAAAAGAATTAAAAAAATAAAACCATAAAGGTAAAATGACAGAGCCTTTAGAGAAATACATAAGAGAATATCTTTGAGATTTTCAAATATGAAAAGACTTCTTAAACTGGATACAAAAAGCACTAACCATAAACTAAAAAAATTTATAAACTAAACTATACTAAAATTACAAACTTCTCATCAAAAGACACAATTAAGACACTGAAAAGATAAAGTACACATCCAACAAAGGAACTGTATTCAGAACAGATTTAGAACTACTGCAAATCATTAAGAAAGAGACAGTAAAACCACAATGAGATAGGACTTCACATCCACAAGGTTGGCTAAAATAAAGACAACAACAAGGGTTGAAAACAAACCCTCATACATTAATGGTGGGAATGTAAAATGGTGCAGTCACTGTGAAAACAGTTTGGCAGATCCTCAAATGTTAATGAGTTATCGTATGACCCAGCAATTCTACTCCTAGATATATAAACAAGAGAAATGAAAGCATGTTCACATAAAAACCTGTACACAAATTTCATAGTTGGGTTATTCATAGGAGCCAGAAAGTAGAAACAACCCAATGTCCCTTAACTGATGAATGAATAAACAAAATGTGATACACTCAAAGAATGAAATATTATTTGGCAATATAAAGGAATGAAGTATTCATGTTACAACATGAATGAACCTTGAAAACATTATGCTAAATCATGAAGACCACAGATTGTATGATTCCATTTATATGAAATGTCCAGAAAAGGCAAATCCACAGAAACAGAAAGTAGATTAGTGGTTGCCAGGGGCTAGGGGTAGGAGCAATGGGAAATAGCTGCTAATGGGTACAGTGTTTCTTTCTGGGGGTAATAAAAAGGTTCTGGAATTAGCTATTGATGATGATTGTGTAACTGTGAATATACTAAAAAAACTGAACTATATACTTTAAAAGGTTGAATTTAATGGTAGGTAAATCTTATCT